AACTAAACACATTTATTTAAAAACCAGTTGTTGGCATGACACGGGTTATGTTCGTCTCATATATATTATGATGGTATGATTCTAAACCCCTAACGGGAAGGATTGTGCCTGATATTAATATGATGAAGACATAATCTTTCAATCAGTTTAATTGAAGTCTGGAGCTGGCATGTCAGTTAACTGCTAGTAGTCTGTTGTTATTTATGTATCATTGTCATTTTTGTTTATTTTCTTTGGTTACATCTTCTGACATCAGACTCGGACTTCTCTTGAACTGAATTTTAATGTGCGTATTGTTACGCGTTTACTTTTCTACATTGGCTAGAGGTATAGGCGGAGGATTGAGATCTCATAAACATGTTTAACCCCGCCGCATTTTTGCTCCTGTCCCAAGTCAGGAGCCTCTGGCCTTTGTTAGTCTTGTATTATTTTTAATTTTAGTTTCTTGTGTACAATTTGGAGTTTAGTATGGCGTTCATTATCACTGAACTAGTATATATATTTGTTTAGGGGCCAGCTGAAGGACGCCTCCGGGTGCGGGAATTTCTCGCTGCATTGAAGACCTGTTGGTGACCTTCTACTGTTGTCTATTCTATGGTCGGGTTGTTGTCTCTTTGACACATTCCCCATTTCCATTCTCAATTTTATTGTACGCTGGTGTCGATTGAAAATTTATTATGACATTCAGCAGATGTCAAAGTTCATACTAAAGCCCTAATGGAAATAACTGTTTGCTTTCCTGTCAATAATAGTTCTAGTAAAACGATATCATGCTGTTCAGAAATGTTAATTTGAATAGTCACCAACTGCCATTACTCGGTCCTAATGGAGAGTTTGATATGGTTTACAGGACAAAGGGTACTAATGGCCCCGACTTTCAAACAATTTTTAGAAATAAAATGCTGAAAACATTAAAATAATATTGGACAGATATGTTCCTGAAAAGATCCTTGACAAGTGTCATTACTTTGGAAGACAATCGGATAGTCTAAATGGTCAGCGTTTACATCAATAACCCATTGAGTACTATATTTTGCTTCATATTGAAGAAAAGATGTTATTAAAAGAAAGCAGATCATGTTAAAGGGAGGCGAAGGAGACCAAAGGGACATTCAAACTCACAAGTCGAAAAATAAACTGAAAACGCCATGGCTAACGAGAAAAAAAACAATCAACAGTACACAAAACACAACATAGAAAACCAAAGATTGAGCAACACGAATCCCATGAATAAATGGGGGTGATCTCACTTTTCCTTAGAAGTTATTTACTAAGTGTTTTACTTTGGTCCTGATGAAAAGTCAAATATGGCTAAAAGGGGCCAAAAGGTAAAATGCTTAAAGATTTTCTACTCCACACCGCGCCTGAATGAATTGAAACCAACTTTTGCAAGAAATATTCCGGTGAAGATTCCTAACAATTGTTGTGACCTTGATGCCGATTTGAAATTACACTATGCTGATTGATTGATTGGTTGGTTTGTGCCTAACGCCACTTTCACCATTATTATGCTATTTCGTGGCGGTTAGTTTTTATTGGCGGAGAAAGCCGGAGTGCCCGAAGATTCATCGACCCTTGGTAGGAAAACTAACAATCCTAGTCAACAGAGATTGGAGTTCTGCAGGATTCCTACTCACAACTTCAGTGTTGACAGGCTAGTGATACAGTAGTTCGACTACTTAGACCACTCGGCCAGCGAGATCCCCTACCCTATGCCGACATCAGAGATCAAAGTTTACGTTCCAATTATGGGATTTTACATTTGCTTTTTTTCAGACAGTCCAATATGGCTTTAAAAAGATGTCCATTGACTCGACTTGATCTTCTTGATCTTCTACTTTAGATCAATTTAACCTTTGAAACAAAGTTGCAAGATATTTTTTTGAAGAAAAAAAAAATCACAGCTTGCCATTTAGATGATGTGAAAAGATTTTGTACATTGTTTCAGCAAAAGCTCTTCACTGCACACTTTTGTTCCTGATTGAGAGAAGCCCCTAATATAATAGATACTTTAACTACAGGAAGATAGCTCTTATCTTCCCTGTAAATACTTGACTCAGTATCCTGTAAGTTAATGACAATGTAAGCACTGTTTATAAAATTAAATATCACTTACACAATGTTATGTACTAAGTTACTGATTTATGAGACATGACTTCCCTTTGACCCCCACCCACGTTTTTATTCAATGTCTGTATATATGCTTATTCCGTCAGCACAGAGGGGTTCAAAAGTATTAAATCTGTCCAAAAGTAAATATAATCAGTCAACATATGATAAGTGTACGTGTGTGTATGAAAGGATGGACTACTTGAAATTTTGTAATGTCTATTGCATAATTATTGTTCAAATATGGTTTTCTAGCCATCAATGACCTGTACCACAACCCAGTTGTTAATGTTCTACTTCTACGGTTCCTTTGAGATCTGACTTAGGGATTAATATTCATTTAATAGATTAAATAAAGTAAAATTCACAGATTGGAAATATAAATAACTAACAAGATTGATGTCAGGAAAAACTATGGCTTCAAAATTCTAAGGTTATTGTTTAAGTTTTAATAAATATTTTACCAACAAAACTGTATAGACAACCAAATTCAAATCAAACTTGTTCTGCTCAGTTTTTCCTGTATTTGGCAAATCATTTCAGTGTTTTGGGTCCTCAATGCTCTTCAACTTCGTAATGTGTTTGGCCTTTTAAATTTTTTTACTTTTAACTTTTTGGATTCAATCGTCACCGATGTATTTTGTAGAAGAAACATTTGTTTGGCATACAAACCATAATTTGTTTCAAAATAAAATGTTTCAGTTGCGCCAATAATACAGGCAATTGTATAACAGTGATATGTTCTGTACAAATAAATCACATTGTTGAAAACGTCTAACGACCCGTTATTCGAGTCATTGCCCTTTAATGATGATTTTTACCATTTTTGCCTAATATCTGAAATATATAATAGATAGATAGAAACTTTAAGAAGAAAAATTGATCAGCAAGACAAGCTTTACAAATAAGAGTATTAGGCGAAATCGTCATTTCACTCCTTATTGCAGTTCTTGCTCTTTAATGGAAATTTTTACCCATTTAGTGTTCAACCTCTTATCTGAAAACTATTATAGATAGATAGCCATTTTTTATATCAAAAATGATCAGCAAGACAAGATATTCAAAATAAGTTTACAATTGTAAGTCGAATCCTTATTGCATGTTTGCTCTTTTATGCCAATTTTTACCATTATTTAAGGTTTTGATTATTATCTTGAAAATAATAAACGATAGATCTATATTTACAAATAAGTCAAATTTTGCCGAAATCTATAGTAGACTCTTTTGTAAAAATTTGAAAATAAAAATTACAAATGATGGTAGATAAATTAAAACAAACACGTTCATTATTTTGTACATAAATTAGGTAATCATTCCGCATCTTCTTATTTTTACATTTGAATTCCTATAACAAAATGGAAGGAAGTATAAGCTGGGACATACCATAGTATATTGTTCCCAGATTGAAAGGTAAGTTTGGTTGATAATGAAACAATTTCGGATAGTTTTGATAAAAATCCTCTGAGCAAAAATAGGTTATAAAAGTAAAGGAAATTTGATACGTCCATGTGTATTGACCCCCATTTCAATCAAATATCACAAAGTTAGTATTGTTGGTGTCTATGTAAACCTTTAATTTTCTTTTTTTTCTGAATGATTAAGGGATTCCCGTGGCAAAACAATTCAGGGCTTCAAACATAGCATTAAAAAAAATTGAGTTGGGGTTCTGAGCTCTGAGATACATGAAGAAATAAATATTACTAGTTCAATGACTTTGATTTTCTTATGTAATGTTGCCTTAGTACCTTATAGGTTTAGATATCATTCATCCCAAGTGTAAGTTATTTTTCTAGAAAGACTTAATTTAAAGAGTAAAACTTGAGCATGTTGTGCATTCACTTTAAATTATATTTTTCATTCTTAACCATATATGTTGTACAGAAGCACTTGCGTTCACCCCTTGTTTTTGATTGGTATCATTAGCAGATCTAGGGGTGGATTCCGGGTTTTGGAACCACCCTTTTGTTTGACAACTAATGCTTTTGTATATCGACATATTGAACCCTCCTTTTTATACGACTTGCATGTGTTGGAACCATCTCTTTTAAAAATGGATGTGTCCACCCCTGGATATCGTGATCCTCAATCTTTAGTTTTCTCTATGTCTTTTAAAAGGAGTGTTGGTATTTTTTTGTAATGATATTGTCTGGGTTTTTTCTTTTTATTATGATTGTCTCCTTGGTATATTTTCTTTTGATGGTTTGTAGTATTTATATAAGATACTGATCAAAGAATCTAGAATTTGCATATATCGAACAGCATAATGAAAATGGTAACAAAATAGTCAAACAAGGAATGTATCTGGTACTATAATTAATGCCATAAATAGCGCATATATTGTATGATTTAACAAGATAAGATCAGATAATATATAGTTTTTTGTATAAAATCCAATCTAATCAAAATTAATTCTCCGCACTCGCTCATTTTTTTATGCTTCGTCGTCCACGCAGAGACCAATTATAAAAAAAAGAGCAAGTGTGGAGATTTAATTTTATTTCCAAAAAATCGGATTGATACTAAATACAAACACAAAATTTAACAAGAATTCTGAAATCTTCAAATGTGAAATCAACATGTAAAATAAATCAGAAGAAAAATTGTATTTGATGAGCTTTATTGAAACTGATTACTACACATGTAGTACATTGTACATTTGTACTCAGTTTACAACATGAGTAATATTTTCATTGTTGTACATAAATATGTACAGGACAGAAACATATGTACCATTGTACTTTGGATTCACATGTAAGTGTGTAGGTGTTGTGATTGCTATCAGTTTTAGAAAAACAATTAGAATGAACAATTTGCGGAAATACTTTTATGCACTTCTTCCTTAGAGTAATTAACATTTAAATTTTCTTATAGTCATGAACAGTTCATAGAAATTGAAGATGTTTTTATAAAATCCATATTTGTATATGTTGAACAAAACAATTTTTTACAGTGCGGATAAACCTACGAATGTCAGTAAAAATGTGTACAAACTTTTAACAGAACATAGAATTAGTACATTTTCAGTATTATAACAACATTTTATTCAGATGACAATATGTTTTTTAGAACTTGTGTGTACGAAAGTTTTGTATATAATATGTTTATAAGTCTTCAAAGAAAAGATGTATGATAATGGTAATCTTAGACAATGTAAGTATATATTTAAATTCAGTAACCTTTATTATAGTAACAATTACGGTCTCCTCTCAAAGAAATTTAAACATGTAGGACAAAGTTGTGTGTGGATTGGCTCCGTCTTCAATAGCATCTCCTGCCCTATACTTGTACATTGTAGTACTGTAGTAAACAATGTTGAATTGTTTTACATTTTTCATTTCGGGGCCTATTATAGCTGACTATGCGGAATGAGTTTGGCTCAGTTTTGAAGGCCGTACGGTGACCTATAGTTGTTAATTACTACATGTGTCATTTGGTCTCTTGTGGATATTTGTCTCATTGGCAATCATATCACATCTTCTTATTTTTATATAGACTGGTCAGTTAGAAGTCAAAATAATTTGTCCAAGGAGGGTGACTGTCTTCATGCCGACTTTTGCTTTTGAACTAGCACTGTAATCTGGCGCAGTGGGTCAGTCTAGTACAAAGCAGGGTTCATATTCATATCTCATCAACATGTTCTTGTGTCATGAACATGTTGAATATATGCATTTCATTTGCCACTGTACTTTAAACAACCATCCATCCACCACAATGGTTGACATGTAGGATATTTATACATGAAGTTTTCTGCTCTTTGGTCGGGTTGTTGTCTCTTCGACACATTCCCGATTTCCATTCTCAATTTTATTAACTATAAGAATAAATCCCTTTAATTCTGATTGAAAAATGTTCATGAATCAAAAATTGTTCTTCTAGAGATTTTTTTATTGTGGCTGTAGATTTTGAGAATGTGAGCTGAGTTTTTTAAGTTAATTTGTATAATGACTAACATTTCATGCTTGTGTTTTGTTCTGGCTCACAGACCTTCATGGCCATTGAATGTAGATAATTTGTATAAAGATGACGGACAAATCATTCTTATGTTTACAATCATAACTTTTGTATGGAATATTTGTTATATTTAGAATAGCAATGTTACATAAATTTTTATGTTATTTGATTTGTTTGTACTTTGTCATTTTCTGTAACGTCAGGCATCCAAATGGCTCCTATTTTGACAGGGTTTTTTTAAAGTACCTTTATTTAAGGTCTCAACAAAAGTTTATATTCAGTGTTAATTTTGTAGATATATCCTTCACTACTATATAGTAGGTTCCACAAAGTTAATTTTAAAACTATACTGAATCGAAAAAGGTTTGAACCGATCCATTTAACAATAGTTGATGCTTACTATATTTTTTGTAAAAAATAGATGTTTCGGACTTATTTTAATTGCTCATTTTTAAAAATTTACTTTTTGTGGATGTCGTATTCGACGTTTCCGTAAATTTTACTATTTTTTCGGGATACTTCATCTGTTGATATTCAATTTGACTGCTTTGTGAATATTTGAACATAGTTAGCTATGTTGAAAGATGTGCATAATGGTAAATTTGAAAAATACAAATTATTTAGATTGTAAGAAAACTTGGAAGATTTCTGTGCTTTTTTGCAAAATGGGTACAATTTGGGTACTGTGCTAACTTTAACGTTGCTGCTTAACAGACGTTAAAAAATACAAACTATTCACATTAAAACATTAAGCTTTATAATTTCTTCTTAATTTTAAAGTATATATATCATTCTTTTTCAGTTCACAACCACTTCAGAATATTCCTTAGTCATTATATTTTTTTCGATTATCTCCCTTTCATCAGCTGATTACGATTTGGTAAATGGTGAAACAGGAAAATAGTAAGTTTCTTGTGTTACTAATTGATAAAATTGAGAATGGAAATGGGAAATGTGTCAAAGAGACAACAACCCGACCATAGAGCAGACAACAGCCGAAGGCCACCAATGGGTCTTCAATGCAGCGAGAAACTCCCGCACCCGGAGGCGTCTTTCAGCTGGCCCCTAAACAAATATGTACACTAGTTCAGTGATAATGGACGTCATACTAAACTCCAAATTATACACAAGAAACTAAAATTAAAAATGATACAAGACTAACAAAGGCCAGAGGCTCCTGACTTGGGACAGGCGCAAAAACGCGGCGGGGTTAAACATGTTTTTGAGATCTCAACCCCCCCCCCCCCCCCCATACCTCTAGCCAATGTAGAAAAAACAAACGTACAACAGTACGCACAGTAAAACTCAGTTTAAGAGAAGTCCGAGTCCGATGTCAGAATAGGAAACAAAAGAAATTAAACAAAATGACAAAAATACATAAATAACAACAGACTACTGACATGCCAGCTCCAAACCTCAATTAAACTGATTGAAAGATTATGTCTTCATCATATGAATATCAGGCACAATCCCTCCTGTTAGGGGTTTAGTATTATACCATCATAAAATATATGAGAAGAACATAACCCGTGTCATGCCAACAACTGGTTTTAGAATAAATATGTTTAATTCCGATGCAAAGACCCTATAAGTGAATCAATTTTAAAGCCAAAATATGCAATCTTTAATGACAAAACAACAGTATCGTAACTATATCCCTTCTTAATAAGTCTGTTTAAAGGTTTTGTTAGCTTTTGAGGTGAATACTGACATTTTTGTGCTTTGTAAAGAATATTACCATAAAAGATTGGATGTGAAATACCCGAACGTATAAGATGTCTGCATGTTGAGTTATATTTACGAATGATGTCATTATACCGATGATAAAATTAAATTGAGTACGTATTTTGTCAATATACAACAGACCCTCTTCACAGGCAACAGAAAAGTACATACAACTTGTCAACAATACCAAACAGTTAGTGCTATTACATGTGCAATGTAGAAAATGAATCTCAACTCTTAACAGTTAACATAAAAGAAGATAAGAATTTCAAAACAGTATAAACAATATATAATAGACAATAAATTGTGGTTAAGATATCCATTTATAGTTGAAGATCTGGAATTAGCTGAAGGTAGCTAACAGAAAGTTTTTGCAAAGATAAATAGCAAGTAATTCGCACATGTACAGGCTAATTTAAGCAAGTAATTTCAAAGGGTTGTAACATGGGTTTATGTAACTTTTAGGAATTTTGGGTCCTTAATGCTCTTCAACTTCGTACTTTGTTTGGCCTTTTTAACTTTTTTTATTCGAGAGTCACTGATGATTTTTTTTTAACGAAAAGCACGTCTAGCGTGCAAAATTTTAATCCTAGTATTTATGATGAGTTTGTTTACAACCACTGGGTTGATGCCATTGCTGGTGAAGTTTTTCTTCCCGAGGTTTTCATCACCCAAGTAGTCAGCACTTCTGTGTTGACATGAATTATCATTGATATGGTCAAATTATAAATTAAATGTTTACAAAACTTTGAATTTTTCGAAATACTAAGTATTTTCTTCCCCTGGAAAATATTACCTTAGCTGTATTCGGAAAAACTTTGAGTAATTTTAGGACTTCAATGCTCTTCAGCTTCATACTTTGTTTGGCCTTTTTAACTTTTTTGATTCGAGCGTGATGAGTCTTTTTAAGACGAAATCCGCGTCTGGCGTACAAAAATTCAATCCTGGTATTTATGATAAGTTTATTTATGTAGTTGAAATAGAATGGCTAACACAACACCACAAATTATTGTATGCAGAAACAAGACTTAGTATAATATATATGATATACATTTTTATATAAAAGTGTGAAACCTGTTCAACTGTACTGATAAAAGTTTTGATGTACACGCAAGATGAAATGCTGTAGTATTAACAAATAATTCAGCATAACAAATGGCCTTCATCAATGTCAATTCTTTTCAAAATGCAATAAAATAATATCAGTTTTTTTGTGTTAAAAGAGCTCACCCATACAGGTAAACTAGACTTAAGTGCTTTATTCTGTAATCCCATACCGTATATCGGGGTTTTTTTCGCGTGTGTTTAATTTTCGCTTTGTTCGCGGTAGCAAAAGAAACGCGAAAATTTGATCCCTCGTTAATTTGCTTGCGTATTCCAAGATTTATTAAAATTTGAGAGTTTTATACATTATACTGCTAATTATGGAGTTTTTTTTATTTGTTCAACAGATCACAAGAATGAGCATACTTAATTAAAATCTTTGTTTTTATAATAATTAAATTGGCTTAACATACGTTTCACACCTTTTGAAAACACAGCAATCAGATGTTAATTAGTGGCGTCCTATTGTATTGATAGGTGTCATAACCCAAGCAATTGGCATTTAATGTAAAAATACAATAAAAATTAATCACTTTTACACGGATATTTGTATATCTGTATTCATCGAAACCTTAAATTTTTAGCATGCCCAAATGTGCATAGTTTACGTTCCTTAAAAGTTCTCTAAATTGTGTACTTTCGTTTGGTTAATTCGTATATATTTATGATGATTACCTGTCAGTCAATCAATTTTGTGTTACTTTCATCTTTAACAATGCGATACAGTTATATTTTAGCTTGCATTTTCCCATTCAGCGAAAATTATACACAGTGAAAATTTACGCTGCCCATTTCGTCATAAAATCGCAAACAAAAAGCTGACGCAAAAAAAAAAAAACCCGCATTTCATCAGTAAAACAAAATTCCAGACTATGTAGGCATGGACGCATATGTTGACATCCCAATACTACGTATACTTAAATATGCATTATTTATATCCCATTTATGGCCTAAGACCACCTTCGAAATGTATTTATTCCTGTTTTATTCATAAGATAAGTGCAGGAGGGTGAGCGAGTGAAATTGCACACTTAAAACATTTTTAGGGTTATTATATAATTCGTCCTGTTTGTTCAGTTTTGGACGATCAGGTATTCATTTAATTTCCTGGTTGAATTCTTTTTATAGACTCTTACATGTGAATTATATACATGATATAAAATTACATATGTGCAGTGCTGAAAATATATATGAATTCCAAATGATTTTTTACCAGGACTATTTATATAAATAAAAGTATATGCATAAGATATATCTCTGTTTATTTAAACTAATTAAAATTTTTAATGTTAATAAAAATAGTTTTTTTTTTAATTAGTGAATAATAATAATAATAAAATTCTTTGATTTTTACCAGATATATTTGCTACACAGCTACAAACAGAACAAAAGGGTTGACAACCAAATACGACATGTTTTCTACCTTTCAGACAGTTTTTAACATTTTTGTGCCTATTGTGCGTAGTCTGTTCAAACAAGTCCTATTACAACAGAAATAAGTGTCCTTGTAAATTAATTAGAAATGTTTAAAAAATGAAATAAATTACAGACCGGTGTGTTTCTCACTCTAATTTCTTAATATGAGCATAAAAGAAATTGGATTGCTTTAAACATTTAAAAAGTAAAATCACAAAAATACTAAACTCCGAGAAAAATTCAAAACGGAAAGTCCCTAATCAAATGGCAAAATCAAAAGATAAAACACATCAAACGAATGGACAACAACTGTCATATTTCTGACTTGGTACAGGCATTTTCAAATGTAGAAAATAGTAGATTGAACCTGGTTTTATAGCGCTAAACCTCTCACTTGTATGACAGTCGCATCAAATTCCATTATATTTACAACGATGCGTGAACAAAACAGACATAATAGGTAACATTGTCAAAATATGGGTACAGCAGTCATCACTGTGTCACAATCTCAAAACAAACAAACATTTGACAAAGAAGCACAAAAAGCATCTATCAAATATAACAACCACATTCATTGCTTACTTATATATGTATTATAAATCAACCCATAAAGGATTGAAATATTTAAAGTCCTGTGACTGCATTCACATCTACTCTTAGTGTAGAGTCGTGTTTGACGCCAGAAAATGTAAACGTCACACTGGAAGAAATATAAATTAATTTTGTCGTTCAAAGTATTTTCAAAATTATAATTTACATGGAAAATGGTGGTATACATGGTTCACTTATACCAGCAAATTCCACAAAATTTAGTGCCCCACAAATATATACTAATAAACCAGAGTAAATGGATTTTTTATTAGCATGACTTTATATTGTTTATTGTTAAATTTCTCTTTTAATCAGAGGAGCACAGTTAATAAACTTAAGGTTGCAATTCTGTAAATACTGACAATGCAATTTCCCATAGGAACTCCCTTTGCGGCTAAAATTGTGACACTTTTACTATGAAGTTTCGTGAAAAATAATATCCCAGAACGGAAAGTTTATATGCACTACTATTTTATTCAAAGGTCAAAATATAGGGCTGTGCGGCATATTTTCAACATTTATATGCCCTGAACTTCTAAGAGTTTAAACTTATACTAAAATTCTATACTACCCTTACCTCCATTTTTGGACCTCCTAAGAATTAAAATTTAGCCGCTACCATGTTTTTCAATACTGGTTACATTCCCAAGTGATGTCTCTATGAGATGAAACACAGAGATCATCAATGGGAACCAGTACGTTAACAAATTAACATACCTATGAATATTAAATATCTCCCCAAAAGAGGCGTGGTTTGAGAAACAGCTGTATTTACAAAGTGCAACCTATACAAACATTTATTCAAATAGAAAACTCTCTAAAAACACTTTTTCTCACAACAATACTTATTTATCAGAATTATAGCCTTAAAGAAATCACTGCATATACTCTAAGTTTCCTTTTACAGTAAATTTTATATCCCTACCCCTGTTTCAATTTTTTAAAGATTTGAAAACAAGACTCTAATTATTGCCAGCTTACCCTATATGCATGTTATCTGACATGAACTGTCCAAAACCTGTTTGAAACTATTCTGATAACAAATTGAAAGCATTTTAGAATACTATAAATGTATTGTTTAGTAGTTAAGCATTCCAACATTCAAGATTATACAAAGTATCCAATCCTGCCTGTGTCTCCAGTCCACATCTTACTGTATGCCTATTTGTCAAAGAAAGTTCACAATTTCTGCCTCAAATGGTCAGTTTAGAATTCTTGTCACAACAGTATCATCCCTAACCATATATCTAACATAAGTTAGTTAATATATGAACTAGAAGTGTTTAAACAAAGCCATATTTGCAAAAGTTGTATTTATGAAGATATCAGTCTGGTGCATAAATTCACTAAAAGTTTGATTGAAATGACTGCTTACATCTGATTTTTGCATAACTTCCTAGCACAGTTATTGTTTACTTTACCAAAGACCTTTAAAATAAACAAATCATAGCATTTACAAGTTAAACTATCTGTTTTATGACTCAGGGGTAGGCATTTTTCTCTGTTTTTTGCCCCTGGGGCCTCACATTTCCTAATTTTTTTCCCTGTTTCTAGCAATGTGGAATATTTACTACATATTTAGGATAGAACACACTATTGTAAGTTTTATTGAGGTCTTTTTGTAATTCTAGCTTGTACTTTTTTATGCCGCGGTCACAAAAAAGCACATTTAGGCATTACGGCTTAATTTTGGGTTATCGACAGGACAAAAACACCCCACCAAAAATATTTAGGAAGGATCAATGAGTTGCAATTACTGCGAAGAGTAAATATAAGCACTTCTAAACAATTTAAATTACAAATAGGCATATATGATGAATTTATTTTGAATTCAGGGCTTTAAGTAAACCATGCATACTGTAAACTGTGAATTTATGCTGAGTCATCATAGTTAAGGCCCAGGATTTTCTCAATCTTCATGAAATATTTATAAAACTTCATATTTGAGTTAAATTCTTTAAAATCTCTGAGATAAACCAGATTTTGTGAAATTTTGTATGTTCTATTTTTTGACCCTATATAGGTTGCAATTCTGTAAATACTGACAATGCAATTTCCCATAGGAACTCCCTTTGCGGCTAAAATTGTGACACTTTTACTATGAAGTTTCGTGAAAAATAATATCCCAGAACGGAAAGTTTATATGCACTACTATTTTATTCAAAGGTCAAAATATAGGGCTGTGCGGCATATTTTCAACATTTATATGCCCTGAACTTCTAAGAGTTTAAACTTATACTAAAATTCTATACTACCCTTACCTCCATTTTTGGACCTCCTAAGAATTGAAATTTAGCCGCTACCATGTTTTTCAATACTGGTTACATTCCCAAGTGATGTCTCTATGAGATGAAACACAGAGATCATCAATGGGAACCAGTACGTTAACAAATTAACATACCTATGAATATTAAATATCTCCCCAAAAGAGGCGTGGTTTGAGAAACAGCTGTATTTACAAAGTGCAACCTTAATAGTATAAAAATTGCAAGTGAACTAGTTGTAAGTGAAATTATTGTAATAAACAATGTTGCAAAAAAAGACAAGTGAGAGAACACTTCAGTCACACTGCATTAAGGAATGAGAACAACTAGTGAAACCAAATGTCTAGTCTATTTTCTTAACCTTTAAAAGTGAACTCATCGCAAGGCCTGGATTTCAATGAGATTGATATGTAAACTCACACATTTTAATAACGAAACGTTCTACTAAAGGTATTAGAATAAACTTTTGGATTAATGTTTTTGTATGTTTATTGGTTGATATATCTCTCTAATTTATTTTGTAGTCGTTGGTTTGACACAGCAGCACAGATCTATAGAGTATGTTGTTATTGTCCTATTGAAGCAATGAGTTCTGGAAACAAAAATGATGTTTTTCAAAGATACCATAATAAAGATGGTGATTTTTGTAATCCAACAGAAGATGAAATGAACAAGACCGGAAAGTACCCTTTCTGTATATGTGAACACAAGATGGGACTGAAACCTGAGTTTGTAGGTAAGTAATGTAATCAAGATGACTTTAAATATAAGGTTCCTTGTTTTTACCAGATTTATTTTCAGATGTTCAGTTTCAAATTGTTTTTTGTTTTTTTCATGAAAATGCTTTGCTTATACAAATCAAACTTATTAGGTACATGTATGATGCATTGAAAGGGAATTTTTATTTGGTGCCAGTATGATGGGAAGCATGGCCACTGGGTGCAATCTATGATTATTACACTGAGAATTATAACGAATCCGCAGAATTTCATCAGATGCAATGTTTTAAAGGGGCATTACCTGTCAAATTAATGTATACCGATTTGACTCAAATTCTCATATTTGATTTATAACACACTAAAACGTAAATATAAATTATCAAACGTCTATAATAAACAGTTTACGATGCATGGGCTCGATAATATTGATGAGCATTTCGTGTGTATTTCATTATAGATATAACTAGATAGCAAACAGGTGCAATTGGATTTGTTTTAGGTCTGTTGAATTCATATCTTAGGCTCAAAAATATGTTAATCGTCGTTTTTACCTGTATAAGAAATAGTTTTTGTGGATCGAATCAGTCAACCAAACGGTTCAACATTGTTTCACTTTCAATTTTCACCTTCTTTCCATTTTAATAGCTGAACACGTCTAATGTATGCGAACCCATCTCTAGCTAAGGGCTTAATTTGAATACGGATTTAATGAGGTCGAATTATTTACTTGCAAGTTAATAGATCATCAGCGATGATTCTTAGCTTTGAACCAAAATTGAACAAAACTGCCTGCTAAAAGCGAATTATTTCACTTTTTCGATTTCATTAATGACATTATCTAATAATTATCAGAGTGCAAAGACAATGGTGAAGCCATCATAAATGTTGTGATCTCATATACATCAATGGGTTTAATTACAGACAAAGTATTAAAAAAATCTGCATAATGATGAGCAGTGTATCTATTTTGATTTTTTTCGTTATTGTTTTTCCTTCCTTCATTTTAAAATGAACACTTTTCATGGGTGCTTCAAGATTTTGGTTTATTTAATTAATTTGGATTTCAGTCCAGTAATTTTGATATATCAACATCTGTACTAGATGAGCAAATGTTTTAAACATTTAATATAAAACAAGACTTTAAAACATTTAAATATAAAACAAAATGTCATTATGTTTTAAAGGATGTGTCCTGCCAAATAATAGTCATTTTAGTCAGGTAGAATGGACCTGTGACAATGTATTCAGATCCCTCAATGTTAGTGTCTATACAAAATGTAACCCTAGATGTACCAAAGACAGTATGGTTCTAGTTAATCCTGGTGCTCAGTCATATAGGTGTGGAGAGAACAAAACATGGGACAACCAACCAAAATCTGTTTACTGTCAAGACAAAATTGAAGGTATACAGTTAAGATATATATGAAATTGAGAACGATTTCTTGAATGATATTGATAAGATTAATAAGGTTGAATAATTTTGATTCATGACATTGTAGATGTTCATATAATATTACTTGACGTACACAAGTATTTGATATATTGCCAAAATGAAGGGAGAAGTATACTATAGAACCCTATGAGAATTTTTTTTCTTCTCAATTTTCAAATACTACAACTTGAAAATAGTTAGCGATAGACACATGAGGGCTTCAGTAATGACCATTGGAACATATTGTCTACTTTTGTCTCAAAAGATTAATGGTCACTAATAACCTTGACCTTTCACCTTAACCAATTGTTTTCAATTTGCACAACATATTAAAACAAAATTAGAGAAATGAATGAATAATAGAGGAGTTGTTAGGGAATATACTTATGGGGACTGTGTTTTGGAGACTTTTCATGGCTGCTTGATTATTTTGGTTTATTTTATGCTATTATTTGTTATTTCAGAGTAGCAAATTTTTAAAATATTTAGTATAATCTAAGCTTTTCAAGCATTCAGATATACAAAAATGTCTATTTTTCAGAATGTGTCCTGCCAAATAAAAGTCATGTAAGTCATGTAGAATGGACCTGTGACAATGTATTCACATCCCTCAATGTTAGTGTTACTAGTAATACAACATGTAAGCCTAGGTGTACTAAAGATAGTATGGTTCTAGTTAATCCTGGAGCTCTGTCATACAGGTGTGGAGAGAACAAAACATGGAACATCCAACCAGAATTTGTTAACTGTCAAGACAAAACTGAAGGTATAAACTTATTAAAGTAAGATATATGTGAACTTGAGAAACATTTCTTGAATGATATTGATAAGATATTTATGGTCGAATAGTTTTGATTCATAATTTTGCAGATGTACATATAAGATCACTTGGTCAACGGAGGTATGTGATATAGCCATTATTGTGCATACTTGGACATTCATATTCTTCACATTTTCATATTCTCTCTAAAGATACTTTTAACAAACATGGCAGGAACGATGAAAAAGGAAGGTCATCTACAAAAAAATGATCGTTTTGTTTCATTCCGATGATATAAAGCTAGGCTACTAAACTTCTGATCAGATAATATTAGAACATCTCTTAAACTACAAGGCGACTTGAGGGCAGTGATGACTTGAAGACCTTCTACAAACTATCATCATTAAATGTTGATTGGTCTGCCAATATGTCTCAATGTCAACTCCATTTAGTTTTAAATATGCAATTTATGAATAATTTATTTTTTTAAACTTTATCGCATGTTTGTTGTCAACTTTGAAGTTACCGTAAGAATGTGGCAATAAACTCATCATAGATACCAGGCTTCAATTGTGTACTCCAGACGCGAGTTTCATTTACAAAATACTCATCAGTGACGCTCGAATAAAAAAAAATAGTCAAATAAATCTATGTCAACGGTTACGTACTTAAATCCTAAAAAATTGTATAAAAAATATCAATAAAACATAATTCTTTAAGGGAAATTAAACATGTTAAATCTTTTATCTTTTCAGATGTTATAGAGCATTGGATATATATGGTGATCATTGTGATTGTTGCGTCTTCATTTGTTATTGCCATTATTTTATTAATTACTTGCAGGCAGAGGTTACAGCATTTTTGTTTACAGCGTAAGACACAGGAATATGATTAATTTACTACCCACGGCTTTTGAAACGTTTTTCTTTTATTATAAGATGAAGTACATAATTTAGATTTAAATTATTCACATGTTTGTTGCTCTGTTTAATATTTTTGCTCGACATATTGTCTATGCTGACTTCTAGATATCTTTGGTTGTTGTGTTGTTTAATTGCTGTTTGTTTGATGTTCTCTCTGGTCTCCTTTTATGCATGACAAACAATATAAGATATCAAATTAACATATTTTCAATGTTTTTGATTGAAGATACAAATTGGAAATGCTTTTCAAGTATTCTGGCATTTTGCATGCAACTAAATTTTCAAAATATTTAACACCCTGATGCTAATCTGATGGCAGGCACTTGATTATTTGATCAAAGTTTGATATTTAAGAGGGTATACGACCTAGTTGCTTCATACCTTGTAAGCAGATATTTTCTGAAGTTTCCATCGATCATATGAACATTGTCCTGGACCTCATTTCCATGGTTCAGCCACTACTTCAAATAACTTTATAATGTATAGGGGTCCAATGTTACATCTCTTGGCTAGTACGTTTCTTAGATACATTATATAATCAATAAGTCAATTATGTTTGGTGAAAGTAGATGTATTTTCTCAGGTGTAAATTGTCTTTGAGCAATAGGTTAACTATAATGTGTTGCTTGTTATGGGTATGGCATATTCAATATGTAAAAAAAAGTCAATCAAGATATAAAAAACCCTTAACATAGTTTTGCTATTTATGCCATAGGAATATAGGTTTCAGAAAAACGCATTCGCTTATTTAAGCAAAATTAGAGATACAAAGTTTCAGACAAACAATGAACTACTGCACCAATAATCTAATTTCATCTTTGACAGAAGCTTCGTAAAAACTAAGCTTTTTAAATAAAGTTAAGGTTATTCAACCTCAGTAAATATGCAAACTTATAGATTTTGTTTATAGGTAACATTATTTTGTAGTGAAAAACAAATTCTGCAGTTCAAGTGAAAACAGTTCATCAATTAGAATGGAAATGCTTCCAATATCTATAGATTCTAATGTCAATGTACAGACTAGTGATGATATGATATGTGAAACACACTTATCTAATACTATCAGTGATTCATGTTCAATCAGAATAAACACAATTAATTATGAAAACCAGGGAGGTGTAAGTGTTACAAATATCGATGGAGATGAGGAAAGAAAATCCATTCCTGATTCTTTGATAGATGATCAAATGAATCATTGGATGGCTAGATTGGAGGAGGATGTTGTCAAAGAGGCACAGTTGTCACTGACTAGTACACAGTTGCCACTGACGAGTTATTATCATGGTATATATATCACTGCTTTACTGCGACTGTAATAATGCGGGACCCCTTAGTTACTTCCCAAGGACAATTTAAGGTTGATGAAAAAGGTGATAATTAATAAAATCTGTTTAAGATTTTAAAAAGAAACTACTTTTATGTATTGTACCATTTGGAAACTTGATGCTGAATTTATAATGAAAACATTTAATTTTTTTCAACTGAACACTTGATTTAAAATTGTATAAATTTCTTATAACCTGTCTTCAATACAAAAGTAAGTCAACTGAAAACTTAAAAATTCAATTGACGAAATATTGTACATAACAAAATATTCATACATTTACAGAGTTTGGTTTATGAATATGTACTCTCAAAGTTTGCATATGACTGTAACATTATGTTAAGAGAACATAGGATTTAATGCCAACATATAACCGGGGTATATGCTCTTGTTATTACAAATGTGGGTTAATGGATCACGATACAATGTAATCAGTGCAGATTAGAATCATAATTTTGTATATGACATTTTCTTAATACAATATAGCCTAAATATTGTCAAGAATTGTTGCTAAATTGTTTTTCAAACATTTATATCTGTAGATACAAAGCCAACACTGCCATTACTTGTAAAAGTGAGTGGAATAAGAGAGAGATACAGAGGTGGGGAAATTTATTACAGTGTCATTAGAGGTAATACCTTGGATATTACACACACATTAAATATAATAAATACAATATTAGGTAGTGTATGATCTGACATCTGATTGTTCAATTGAAAACAATGTTTAGCCAGGTTAGGACAAAGTCTTACTCCAGTTATAATATGACGAATCTGAATGACACCTGTATGATGGTGGTTTTATAATACCCTTATATAATTATGAAGAGAAATGCCCTATTGTTTTTGTCGTCACTACGGTAGAGATCAAGATAAAAGCAGCTATTTAAGTACTGGTGTTTTTTGTTTGACTTTTAATAAACTTGGTTTTTATAATGCTCCTTAGAATGAGAAAATCCTCCATTGATTTTAAGGTTTTTCTTTAATAAGTAATTAGTTGAAATGTGGGCAATTTTTATGTTTCCACATGATATCTTTTGAACCATCTGTCAAACCTTCACCAAACTTAGCTTAAGAATGCATGTAGGAAAGAACAAGACCCTTATTGATTTTGGGTCAGTTGGTTTAAGGTCTAATCAATCTCTTTAAATAAATTTTGAGAAAAGTTCTGTTTACAAAAAATATCTTTGAGCTATAAACCAGGTCAAAGATAACGAAAGCAATTAGTAGACTGAAATTGGGGAAATATTTTGTTTGCCAGATGATATATTTTGGTGTGTAGGTCCAACTTTCAAAATAATTGACATGAAAATGTGCCTAGAAATATGCCCAAACTATCTTACATTTGGCATCAACCTAGATCAAATTATTACAGTTCAAAATGAATTGATCAAACAGGAAATATTTACAGGGACTGAAAAAATACCTCAACTTATCCATTTATGATTTTAGTTATGTACTGTGGATGATTTTTGCAGGTAGTGAGATTGTTATAGTATCTCAAATAGTAGAAACAGATTCAGACTTCATTATAGATAGAGAATATGATGAACATACACTTAATTATTATAAGATAAGATCAGCCAGCAAAACAAATGAAGGTGTATATAAATGGCAATTGAAAGGAAATAGTAAACAAGAAAGACAAACAGGCAGCTTTTACATAACAATTTGTGGTAAGTTTAATTTATTTACATAAAAAGATGCCTTGGTTGTTCTAAGAACTTGGTAGTTTGTCAACATTTCTCTATATAAATATATTCAGGTGCGCTCGACTTCACTCTTCAATCGACTTCAATCTTAATTGAATAGGGTTGTCATTTTTCGTGCCGAAGGTCGGTGGTTCTTTCTGGGCACTCCGGCTGCTTCCACTAATAGCACCTGACCGCCTCGAAATAGCACAATAGTGCTGAAAGTGGCATTAAGCAACTATAAATCAAACAATGAAAATTGAGGCCAAAGTTATCTTATTTGAAATCATACAAAATAGTCCTATTTTTTAATGGTAATATGGTGGTAACGGAAACAGAGTTTACTATTTGTGTATTAGATCGTAGAAGACCTTGATACTTCATATCTTGTATAAAAGTGCATTATACTCTGAATTGTCTGTCTGGCATATGTCAATTTTCCTGCATATATATGCCAGTCTGGCAGGCTTCATCTGACCATGACCTTATTTTCATGAATTCTGATATTGTAAAGTTTATGTAACTTAGATTTTGTTTTGTTTTTGCCTGATTGTCATTTCCTATTGTCATTTATGAAAATTTGACTTTCTCAGATAAGATAAGACCAGAGCCAGCAGGTAGCAGCACTGTATCTTTGCCGTTCATCAGTTTAGATATTGATTCGATGGAAACATTTGAAGAAAAAGTAATGAATGGTAAGTTTTGTAAATTAATTTTTGCGGGCCAAATATTTGAATAGGCTAAACATGATGATAGCCTAGAAATTATCAGTATATGTATCAATCATAACAAGATCCAACCAGGCTTATTATATGGAACAAGTTCATAATATTTGTTTTAAAATACATGTTTCAAACAAAATATTACAGCCATCATTGGTAAGTGCTAGCAAGCTATCAGGATTTGATGCCCAGGGCTTGATTCATAGCATAGTATATCATGTGATTTATTTTCAATGTATTGCAAAAACCGATGCGTATACCGATGTTTAGATAATTAAAATATGTTCGTGCTGAAATATTAAAATGCATTTCTTTTGCCTAAAATTTCTGAAGATCATTGACAGGACATAATAATCGAAAGGTATACGCCATTGACGTCACGTATTCGTGCATCAACGTCACAAGTTCATTTCCATCCGTGTTAATTTATCAATGAATTGCATTTGACTTCATTCATACAACCAAACAATAATAAAAACGTTTTGCATATTTGAAATTAGTTTTACTAACAATTTCATTTTATTTCATACTCGCAAAAACCATATTGTTGAGACAAATTGCATGCAAGAACAATAATGATATTTTATTTTTTTATACTGACTTCATCAGCCTGCATATCAGTCCGCCCTGGCTTGATCGCTTTATATTCCTGAGTATAATGTCAGAATCAAAAATAAAAAATGCCATTATTCAATGTGATAGAGTAATTTTATATATATTATGGACAACTTTATAATGTAATTATTTGCTCTCCATTGCAGATGGTGGTCCAGGTAGCCCATCTCTACCATGTCTTCCTGAGATTAATAGTCCGTTTTCCTCGATTAGATTTAATAGAGCTGCAAGTTCCGAAAGATATAATGTTATTTCTGAGAATAGCTTTAATGGTGCAATAAGTTCAGAGGGACAAGACGATATAACTGAGATTGAAATAGGTAATTTATAATATGGACTTTATTTGGGAATTTTTCTAAGCATGAAATGTAGTTTTCTGTTCATATTGATGAGAAATATTTGAAGAAATGGTGATATTTTAAAAGATAAGTGTTGTTTAAAAATGTTTAATTGCTTGAGTTTTTAGTTTAAGTCCTGCTTCTCTACTTTTTTAAAGATTTTTGGTCTTGCCTGCGACTCAGTATGTGAGACATAGGTATTACTATCCGGCATCGGCGACGGCTGCGATGTAAACTATTTGTTTTAAGCATTATATTCTAGAAGGTAGAAGACCTTGATGCTTCATATTTTGTATGTTACGAAATTTTCGTCTGTCATATGTTCATTGTTCTTGATCTCATTTTCATGGTTCAGCGACTGCTTGAAAAAAAAATGCAAATGTAAATTTCTCACTTATTATGAGTAAAAGGATTACTGTATTTGGTATATGGATTCCTTGCAACGCATACCTGTCAGACAGAAAATGTTCCCCTGACCTCGACCTAATTTCAAGAATCAGTGATCAAGGTTAAATTTCTAAAATACTATAAATAGTAGGTCAACTATATTTGGTGTATAGAATGATTGTAAGGGGTACATGTCAATCAGGCAGGTTTCAGTTGACCTTGACCAATTTTCATGGTTTATCTTGTCAATCTTTAGTTTTTGTGTTTTGGTCTGTTTTTTCAAGTACTATTGTTGAATTATTTTAAGGTGTACATTTCGGTCTAGCCGGTATCATCTGACCTTGACTTCATTTTCATGGTTTCATTGGTCAATGTTAGGTTTTTTGGTTGTTTGCTCTGTTTTTCAAATACCAAAAGCTAGAGGTCAGTTTTATTTTGTGTATAGAATAATTGAATGGTGTATCTGACGTAGACCTTATTTTCCTGGTTCATTGGTCAATGATACATTTTATAATTTTGTTAGTTTTTCAGATACTTTAAGCAACAGGTCAACTATATTTGGTGAATGAAATGATTGTAAGGTGTACATGTCTGTCTCCTGCATGGTTCATCTGACCATGATCTCGTCACATGTTATTATAGAACATTGATAATGATAGGTTTATGTGATACTTGTAGTAAAACCTTTATGTTACAGACTTTCAGCATAAGTTCAATGATTAGTCAAACAGGCGAGATATTTCAGCTCGTGCCCTCTTGTTTGGAATATTGCAGTAAATAATATGAATAAAAAGGAAATGTAAGGTATATATATCAATGTGACACTAACCCAACAGCACAATAAATTATAAAGTTAACATACCGTTTAATAAATAAACAGTTCCTCATACAATATCAATTTCTAAATCATTCGTAGTCTTAAAAAAAGGTTTTCAAAAACCTAATTTTGTTCTGGTCTAACAAAAGTAATCATCACACTTTTCTCAGGTACTACTGAGTGACTTCATATTTTGTTATCAGCTTGACAGTGACCAGTTTTAACCTATGAAGGCTTTCCAGATCTGTCACACTCCCTCGTCCTGTTTTCTGACGTCAGAAATAAGCGTTGGGTATGCTTGACAATACATCCATGCAACTTCTTGTTTTGTAAAAATTCCACAATCAATGTTAATAAGGCTACTTAGAAAAAATACAAATATCTGTATCCAGTATCATGGTCAATATTTTGTATATTAAGATACAAACATTGGGCAAGGGTATCATTTTGTGTGTTCTTCTTGCAGTACCTCTATTTATTATCAATACTTGAGTAGACCGGTTCAAAATAATACGGGAACTGCTATGATGTCCAGTTATGGCGACCAAATAGCGATAAGATTCATTTGAATGCTTAGTTGTATTCATTGTTCTTCAACAACTGTTTGGTAAAAGCAAGCACTTGACTACTTTAACTTTGATTGTTTCTGCTGATTTTTACTAACTTATCTTATGATAGATGGTAGCAAATTTTAACCATACAGCTACCCTACAGTTATTATCATAGAAACTGTTGCAACATATGTTTATTTATAATTACAGATAGACAGATTTATAGATAGATTTATAGATAATTATATAAAGCTTAAACTTAACATGATTTTTTTTCAGAATCTGTAATGAAGAAATGTAACAGATGTAATAAACATTTAATAAGTGCTTTAGATGATTTTAATTCATCGAAATATTTGAATAACATGTGTCATATGCTGGACCCTAATACAAAAAAAGATTCACAATGCTGGATTGGATTTGTGAAATTTTATGGAATAATAGAGGGATACAGAATAGAGAATATAAAGTAGGCACAATATAAGACTTGTCATATAATTTGGTAAATTTTCATTAAGGATGTTCGCTACTCTGTTTCAAAATAAAAAGCTTTTTAAAAGACTATTATATATTGCTAGTATATGAATATAGAAGCTAAAAAAGCAGAAAATAATGAAGAGTCCGTGTGCTTGTTTTCGAGATATAAGCCTTTGAAAATTTGGCGGGAAATAATTCTCTCTTGATTTTTCATACATTAAACATTGGCACCTTTTTTCTTTCAAAAACGATGAAAAAATAACACGGATTTTATAAGATTTTCAAAGATGACATTTTAAACTATATGTAATGAAATTATGGAAAGAAAAGTTAGGGTTAGTGGGCAAAATTTGTAATGGCACTACATGGATAAAACCAGAGGATTCCGAATATCTGGCAAAAATTCAAAACCAAGAGGAGCGAACATCCTTAAGAGTTTGTATGCATCACTTATTTTAATAGGAGTGTACATTGTATATCTATTTGTTTGTCCAGATTTAGTATGATGGTATTAGAAATGAAACGGAAATGATATCACAATTTAACTTCAACACAAAATATCTCTGGAAGTGAATATCTTATATAGGCTAAAGGTAGCAATATCACATTGCTACTAGACAATGCTATTTAACATAACAATTATAATTTGAACATTTTGGAGTCATTTGAATAATTGTACAACTGACAGAGAGTGACTATTTTTTATACCCCCGTAAGGGACGTGTTATGGTAAACCACAATATGTCTGTCCATGTGTCAGTGTGTCAATATAAAAAAGAAGATGTGGTATGATTGTCAATGAGACAACTCTCCACAAGAGGCCAAATGACACAGAAATTAACAACTATAGGTCACAGTACGGCCTTCAACAATGAGCAAAGCACATACCGCATAGTCAGCTATAAAAGGCCCCGAAATGTCAAATGTAAAACAATTCATACAAGAAAACTAACGGCCTAATTTATGTACAAAAAATTGAACGAAAAACAAATATGTAACACATCAACAAACGACAACCACTGAATTACAGACTCCTGACTTGGGACAGGCACATACATACAGAATGTGGCGGTGTTAAACATGTTAGCGGGATCCCAACCCTCCACCTAACCTGGGACAGTGGTGTAACAGTACAACATAAGAACGAACTATAAAAATCAGTTGAAAAAGGCTTAACTCATCAGATGGATACAAATAGAAATACATCTAACAAAAACACAGAGAGGACGTGGCCGGGTACTTGTATATCCCAACAACAAAAAGACACTAAGTACAGATCTGAGAGTACTCGCAGTTACTGACAGCTAGTTCAAAGCCATAAACAACTAATAAATACAATCACTCAAATTTGCTTTTAACAATTCTCGTGTAATTTTAACACATTCAACATTCATCATTAAGGGGAGAAAGCCCTCCTTCTGTTGAAATTTTTTCTAGTCTGTTGTTCTAGATTTACCAGACTAGAATTCTCAGATTAAGGGCATTAAACACCAACAATTAATCATCATTTTTTCAACACAATAGGACAAAACTAAGTTCTTCCTTCCCCTTTGATATAAGACTAGCTATGTGATGATAATTCAATATTTGAGTTGATATATCTTATGGTATATTCTTAAAGGTATCACACGAAAGGAAATCCAGAAGATGGTCACATGCAGTATATTCTCCACCAATATCTACCTCCACACGACTTCAGAATAGGACATTTGGTATATTATTTCTCACAGAAAGATTCACGAAGAGAAGATGTCCTATTAGAGATTAAGAAGTTTCACAAGAACTGTACTTTCTGTAATATCTATATAGATTAGACTTAAGGTTAATCTGATTGAAATATAATTATTTTGTCCTCATTTCACTTACAAGAATCTGATAATGCTTCGTTGTATTTTTAGTTTTGAAGATCTTTTCTTAGATCATCAGGTTTTGTTCTAATGATTGAACTTTCAAAAATTTGAAGGCAAAGTTTCATTGGGTGACAGTGATCAATAAAGAAATTAAAGAAAGTAGAACGAAGCATTTGCTATCCAAATCATGGATGATGGTGATGATGAACGATTTGTGTTTAACCTCCAGTGGCACATAATACATGCATATCAGGAAAAGCAGCTGAATTTTTAAGATGCTGGTTCACAAAGTTACTGTCTTTGTTATGATTCCTAGATGATGTGGTGTGAAGCATGGACACAGGATCTGTATTTCAAACAGACTGATTGGAAGTTGGTCAATATCATAATCAATTTTTTTTAATTTTATTGATTTTGGCTATATTGTATAATATTTGTTTACAGCTATCCAAAATCTCCAAAGGCAATATGTCGAAATCAAGAATGAAACATGCATGATGCTATAAAAAGAAGATGTGGTATGATTGCCAATGAGACAACTCTCCACAGGAAACCAAATGACACAGAATTAACAACTATGGGTCACCGTACGGCCTTCAACAATGAGCAAAGCCCATACCGTATAGTCAGCTATAAAAGGCCCCGAAATTACAAATGTAAAACAATCCAAACGAGAAAACTAACGGCCTAATTTAGGTACAAAATAATGAACGAAAACAAATATATTACACAGCAACAAACGACAACCAGAGAATTACAGTTTATTTACAACCACGGGGTCAATGCCACTGCTGGTGGAGGTTTCTTCCCCAAGGGTATCACCACTCCAGTAGTCAGCACTACTGTGTTGACATGGGTTGTCATTGATATGGTCCTTATCATAAATAAAGGTAGCTGGGTTGTCTAAATGTTCGACAATAGATTATTCTTAAATTTCCGTAAAAAAACTTCTGGGTAAATATACTTTCAAATTTCAATACTAGTATAAAAACTGGGAATCACTCAAAGGCCAATTATATGACCCTCTAATCGACGTCTTTTTGTCGTTCTCAAATCGACGTCCAATGTTTGGCTTCTCTTATCGACGTTCTGTTTACGGACTTGCCGCAATGATGTCACAACTTAATAAAAGAAAACAACTGTCATATTCCTGATTTGATAAAGGCATTTTCCGAATACAAATGTTTGGTTGAACCTCAAAACTCAAAAAGTTGTTACAACAGATCTTGCAGAGTCCAAATGATAATACTTTTCAACAATTGACTATACTTCTTTATTCTGTCTATTGTTTGAGACTTATATTGTGAAAGTACTTTTATTCGTGGGGTACCAATTTTCGTGGTTTTCGTGGATGGCTTTATCCACGAATTTAACTGTCCAACGAGTATAATAACTGTTGTCCAATTCCAGACATGGAAAGATCCCCATGTAGGTTTGATTACATGATCCATACGGTCATATAAACCAACGTACTATGAACTAAATATACATTTTTTTGTACAACTTCAGACCGGATTTTACCCATTTAATCTTTAAAAAATCTAAAATGTACGACTGTTAACATTTTAATTCTCATGAGAAATAATTTTTTATCGATGAAAGATATCCGGTGATGATATGCGATAATGAAATAATCCTTTTTTCATAATTCTCATACGAAAAAAAATACTGATTTCATTTTGGGCTTGCTTTTTTATGTCATAATAATTGATTCTACAATTCAAAATATTATGAATTTGTTATTAATGAAGGACGAACAAGTGAGTGAAAATGAACACCTTATTTAACAATGCCCCACAAATCATTATAAAACAACATTTGATTAATATCATGAATATTCGATTCTGAAGTCTTCAAATTCCGCGCGTCACTCGATTTCTTTTTCAGAAAAATAAAATCCACGAATTTAAGAACCCACGAACATGTAACTTTTGCTGAAACCACGAAAATTGATACCCATGAATAAAAATACTTTCACAGTATTGCCCCTAGACGTCTTTCGGTTATCTTTATATTTGGGTTTATGTCTCATTGTCTTATATTCACATATCATTTATTTATATGAATATGAAAGGAATAAAACAACGTAGATCGAGTGGATTAACTTTTTTTCACCAATATATTAATATGCATCGCTACAGTCGCCGCCAGGAATGCTTTGACATTTTAAACGGAGTGAATGAATGGACGGAATTTTAAACAATTTCATGTTTAGGAACTCCACCGAATTTTTCAAAAGTTGTGTATTTCTACAGACTACATCGGATATTTTTTCTATATGCATTTCCTACCTTTTGCCGGTATCGGTCGCTGAATCTCTAAATAAATTTCATTCAGCACGGTTTTGAAAAGTGCAAAATCCATTTTTTTTTTTTATAAAATGTCGATATTTATCCCAAATATGAAAGACCCATGTAGTCATTCTCGTATAGGCAACTGAACGACAGACGAAATACAGAACAGATTTGAATTGTCTAAAATTTACCCAAACAATAATAGATCTGAAAATTTGAAGAAGCAAACTTTCAAATTGGTTCTCCTCTTATAGAAAAATTCGATATGGTCTGCAGTACTTCTCGCACAGAGTCCTACGTCCTAGACAACTCCGTCCACTAGGCTATATAAAAAGATAGCTTTCGGGTGTCGAAAAATGCCTTTCCTAGACAACTTCATTTGGGGTTTGTTTCGAGAAATAACACAATGTAAGGTTGCACATACATTAAATACCTTGCGGATCAGCTGTTTTGTCTGCTGGAAAGGACATTCTATTGTAATACAGAGTCAACAATACATATACTTTGTCTTAAATGTAGCCCTGCACATCTGAACTAGGTTAAACAGGAAGTTCATTATGTGTAACCGTTGGATAAATTCAAGTTGACAAGAAAAATCTTTTACCGCTGCTCTCTATGTAAATCTTGAAAACACTCTTTTAAACGACATTCACAAAAGCGAAATATTGTAGAATAAAAGTTGATCAATATTTATTCAGAGTTATGAAATCCGAATCTGCTTTCTATATTGTTCTAGGATTTCTTGAACATTTGAAAAACTATTTTTTTTGTATGTCCATTTAACTTTTTGATGTTACTGTCAGTATTACAAGAGTGCATCTCATCGTGCTTTTTTAAAATTGAAATAACATTCCAATATGTGCATGTACATACATCAATACTAAAATAAGAAACAAAAGCATGTTGGTTATATGTCTTAACTTGATAACCTTGAGGGGATGCATTGTTCATTAGCGGCACTGTACATTTACTGATTTAGACAAATTAAAGTGTCAAATGATTTTCGGGACTCTGATACTTTGGGCAAGTGTAATTTTATTACAGTTAACAGTACCAACTAAATAAATAATGACAAACTTTAGGCAAAATGTATAAACACAGGCATTCAGGTATTTAAATTCAATAACATATATGTCGGTTAAACATTTCGTTCCAGAGTGCAAACCATCAATATATATATAACTTACACAATATATAATACTGGACACTTCTAAATTGACAAATGGCAAAACAACTGTGTGTATTTACAACTGCATAATTTTGTCACAAAATGTTGAAATAGTATTGCTTATGGTAGTGACTGCAGCTTTACAGACGGTTGTACTTACCGAATTAAGACTATTTACCGGATTTGTAATAACATAAGCAACATGACGGGTGCCACATGTGGAGCAGGATCTGCTTACCCTTCCGGAGCACCTGAGATCACCCCCAGTTTTTGGTGGGGTTCGTGCTGCTTAGTCTTTGGTTTTCTATGTTGTGCCATCTGTACTATTATTTGTCTGTTTGTCTTTTTATTTTTGGCCATGGCGTTGTCAGTTTATTTTCGATCTATGAGTTTGACTGTCCCTCTGGTATCTTTCGTCCCTCTTGTACATATTTTTGTTTTCATTGGTTATTATTTTTTTCTCATTTCGCTCAAATCGTGGGGCGTCGATCGAGGATTACTAAACATCTTCAAGGAAAGTGCACTTTGTAAGTTATTCTTTATTGTGTTTTAATTATATTCGTATGAATCGAATTTCTCTCGACAAAAACCAATGGTTGAACGATATGTCCTTACAAAGAGTTTATATATGTAAGGGATATATTTACTGATGTTATGCACAAGTGTCATAAGTCTAGGTATAAAACAGAAAACAATTGAATTGAAAATATATGGAAATGTATGAACTCCAATAAGAACGAGACGATGTGCTTCGACAGAATAATCACCTTGACTACTGTATGCGTCGTCTGCGACACGATTTCAACGCAACATCCTCAGTAGTTAAAAGCGAGGAACATGACAAACCCGAAGGTAATGTCAAACTTACATACTGTGGATTCATTATAATTCGTTGGTATCAATTTTCGTGGATTTTGTGGGTACAGGGGAAATATTCAGCGAATTACAAATGTTCTATAGGAGTATATGCAGACTTGGACAAAATCATGAAATTAAATATCCACGAAAATGCAAGTTTCCCTCAACTCACAAAAAATGGTACCTACAAATTAAATAAATCCACAGTAGCGGGCATGTAGGATCTATAACAGAATTATAACGTCTCTATGGCGAATTGAGAAATTAAGACAGTGTAACGTTTAATAAAAGATGATGTCGACCGCAGAACTTGTAAAGTACGAATGTTCCTCATTATATATCTTGCAGGGTTACTTTTTGGTTAAAAATACATTAGTGAAAATGTTTTAATAAAAACAATATCAAAATACTAATGATTTTCTACCTCGGGAATAGATTACCTTAGTTGTAATTTGCAAAACCTTTCGGAAGTTTTGGTTCTCAATGCTCTTCAACAACGTACTTTATTTTTGCCTTTTTCACCTTTTTGATTCGAGCGTCACCGATGAGTCTTTTTTAGACGAAACGTGCGTCTGGCGTATACAATTTTAATCCTGGTATCTATGAAGTGTTTTTTACTGCTCTTGCATTTCTGATCTATTGAGATAGGACACAAGAGGCTGGGACAGATACTATACCAAATCTCAAGAATGCATGGGTGACAATATGCAAATTGAAATCATCAATTTCGTAATATGTCTTATCTGTCAGTTGTTCTTCAGTATCAATTTCTACAAAAGATTTAATAGTATATACCGGTATGAGGCAAACCTTTATTTCTCTGGATTGTTTTTCAATTCAATTGCAAGTTCTTAGGAATATATATAGATCTTAGAAAATACTTGAAAAAAGAGTTATTGAGTAAACACACAGCATTAATAAATTCAAAGATTTTGCTAAAAGGTTGTCATCTTAATTTTTTGTTTTGTTTTATGTAAATTCTGCCTCATTTGATAACATGTACACGATTGGTTATTGTTTTTAAACGTATTTGTCTAAAACTCCCCATTGATAAATTGAGATATTATCAAGAAACAAAGGTTCTTACTCTCTCATGCAAAGTTGATCGTAGCCGAATTTGGTATTCTTTTCATGTCATATAGGTGATAACATTTCTACGTGTTTATACATTACTCGTATAGGTGATAACATTTCTACGTGTTTATACATTACTCATATAGGTGATAACATTTCTACGTATTTGTACATTACTGGCTTTAAATGTTTGGGTGATCCTGATGAAGGTAAATGCAGAAAAGAACGTCAAACGCACAAAATTATGAAAAGTTATATTCTTGGAATATCTGTTAGAAGAGCAATACTCAGTATTATACAAAACTATGTGTTGTTCTGGATCAGTGAATATGTTATTGGAACCAAAGTAGATTAAGTTCGTAGCAAGTAGAAATGTTTTTCGAACTAGAGCACGAAACTGCCGTATGCATACACAATTCTTATATAGGGAACAGGGTTTATTAAGAAGATTTTGAAGATCTGTAAATTCAGAATGTGAGTGGATGTGTAGAAAGTTATGACATTATTTGCATTTTTTTTAGTTGTTACGTCAGGTTGGAGGTATTTGGAGCGGAAGCGCTTCGTACTAAAAATGTGCACACAACAAACGCTTTACGACCCTATAAAATAACAATCTAATGACGTTGTCATGGAAAGCACTTGCAGTCATAGATGTTGCCTTCTATTGATAAACACAGTTTGATTTTGGAATGCCTCGCAATTGTTGTCAAGCAATCAAAAGTACGGATTCTTATTAAAATTATATCAAAATAACGAGATGTGGTATAACTAGCAACAAAATGGACATTTTGATTAGAAGATGGTTATGAAACTTAATCTCACATATAGATACCTTAATCGATCAATCAAAAGCTTGAATATTGTTATCAATGATCACTCGGGATTCTCAGTGACAACGTACCCGTACAGATACAAATTATATTGTACCTATAAAAAGATACATCTTGGAGGCGTGAATAAGATGCGGATACTTAAAAATTCAGAAGATCTGTTAGAGTACATACAATCTTAGTATGTTTCCTCTTGCAATAGTATTACAACATTTGACTTTCTACCCTTTACACAAATATTCCCCACTCCAAAATCAAACAAACGCCTCGATTGTCTCGTGGTAGCGTGTTCGCCTCGCGAGGTCGTGGGTTCGAACCCCGGCCGTGTCAAACCAAAGACTTTAAAATTGGTATTTGCTGCTTCTCCGCTAAGCAAGCATTAAGGGCAAAGACTGGTCGGCTCGGAGTCAGAATAATGTGTCCAGGTAAGGCGACATGTCTTAATTCCTGCGGACTGTCACATTGTGAACAAAAATCCGGCTCTGCGTGTCGGTCCAGTACAAAGCAGGGTAAATATTCATATTACATTAACATGTTCTCGTCCTGAATACGCATATTAAAAACAAAAATACAAAAAACTCCAAGGAAAATTCAAAATTATCAAATGGCAAAACCAAAAGCTCAAACACATCAAACGAATGGAAAACAACTGTCATATTCATGACTTGGTACAGGCATTTCCTTATGTAGATGGTGCCGCTGGACGTTAAGCAGTCAGCCATCATTATCATCCAACTTTTAACTAAAAGACAAATTGAAATAATTGGTCCTGTTTTTTGTTTCATAAAAAAGAATGGCAAACGTAGATACAAGATTACGAGTATCTTGTCTTCGGGAGGAATAAATCGTACTTTGTTAAAAATAACTCTGATTCAAACAAAAAATTCTCTGAAACTGACATCATCAAGATGCTTGATTTCTTGATTGACAACATATTTGTTACGTTAACGTTTGGAGGACATTTTTTAACAAATAATCGCCATTCTCATGGGAACCAACTGTGCTCCTCTTCAGTTTGTTTTTGACTTATGAGTTTGAATGTCCTTTTGGTATCTTTCACCTCTCTTTTACAGATGCAGATAATTGTATTGACCAATCGAGGTGCCCTTTGGTGACATAATAAACAAACAAAACAATAAACTAAAATGACAATAATGGTTCATTAGATTTATTGTGTAAAAACATCCAACTAGATTGCATAAAGAGAGACCGCTCCATCATTCCCATATTTAAGATGCTGGTTTTATATTAGTAATGAATGTATATATATATATATATACAAGTCTAAATTGAAAACAACGTTCAAACCTATGATTGCGTTGGATAAAAATCGCAATTTTTATACGTGTGCATGCAAAACAAATTTCTTGTTAGAGGGGTCTAAATACAGCACAAACAACATTTTCCAAAAGACCAAAAAAGTGAAAAAGTATATTTTAACAAAACGTATTTGACTAACAGGTCGAACAACAAATGTTCTTAAATCCTGCTGACTGCCATTGGCGATTGCCAAATAAACGGATCACAAGGTGTAATAAATGGATCTTAACTTTAAATTTAATACCAAACAGAAAACAATAAACTTGCGGCGAAGATGGTATACCGCAAACAAAGGTGCAAATATTTTTTGTACACCATATCCGGATTTCGACAATTAATGTCTCTTCAGTGATGTTAGGAATCAAAACGGTTATTGGAAGGCCACATAATTTACCTCAATTTGGGATAGACTCTTGAATTTTGAGGAGTCAAAATAGGATGAACGGATCATATAAACCCGAAGGCAAATATAATACAAGCCCAAACGAAAAAATATAAACAAGTCTAAATTGAAAACAACGTTCAAACCTATGACTGCGTTGGATAAAAACCGCAATTTTTATACGTGTGCATGCAAAACAAATTTCTTGTTAGAGGGGTCTAAATACAGCACAAACAACATTTTCCAAAAGACCAAAAAAGTGAAAAAGTATATTTTAACAAAACGCATTTGACTAACCGTCGAACAACAAATGTTCTTAAATCCTGCTGACTGCCATTGGCGATTGCCAAATAAACGGATCACAAGGTGTAATAAATGGATCTTAACTTTAAATTTAATACCAAACAGAAAACAATAAACTTGCGGCGAAGATGGTATACCGCAAACAAAGGTGCAAATATTTTTTGTACACCATATCCGGATTTCGACAATTAATGTCTCTTCAGTGATGTTAGGAATCAAAACGGTTATTGGAAGGCCACATAATTTACCTCAATTTGGGATAGACTCTTGAATTTTGAGGAGTCAAAATAGGATGAACGGATCATATAAACCCGAAGGCAAATATAATACAAGCCCAAACGAAAAAATATAAACAAGTCTAAATTGAAAACAATATATATATATATATATATATATATGTATACTTAGTTACATATCTTGAAAAGTCCCATGAAGAATGAAAACGATAGAACAATGATGCTAATATTTTATTCTCAACTTAACTGTTTTTTTGTGTTTTATATATATATATATAAGGAGTTCATACATGTTCAAACTGCTTTTTTTTCTTTGTAGTAACTTTACCTGATTATTGATTTTTGAATATAATGTCTAATATCGTAATATGATCCGTGTGAGCCCATGTAATGGACATAAAAATCTTCTTCATACATAAAAAAAATATCTTCCAAATATTATATATTGCACATGTATGATTCAACCAGTCAGTGTAACACTTGACTTATTTTAATCAGGAAATGAAAAACAAAGTCCTGCTATTCAAGTACATTGCAAGGGAAAGCACTTGTATTCTATGTATTTTAACTAAGTAACACTTTATTCAAGGTTGGGATTTCCCCCCTTCCTTTTAGACTTTTTTCTTGGAACTGAACATGTTCATGCCACTACATACGGTTGTTCTTTTAAAATTGTGAATAGCCCATTGTCCATAGAAGTGGTTTATCTGTTTCTATTTCAACAGATTCAGTCTGACCAGACTCATAAGTGTTTGATGTACTAATTAATTCACCAAACTTAAGACGTTGTTTATTAAGATTCCATTTAAGACCGGTTGTAGAAACAGATTCACACGGCTCTCCTATGGGTACCAAACCGCACCAGTCGTCTCGAAAAGAAGATTTAACGGATATTTTGTATGATCCGTCTTTGAGTAGCACAGCAAGGTTACTCTCTGACATGAGATAAATAGGAATGGAGAGTTCAAAATGAAATAGTGTGTCAATATTGGCAAAAATCTGATCAAGCCGTCCACCAAAAGCACATAATACAATAACACAGCTTGCATTCATCTTTTTAAATTTCATCTTCTCTGCAAGTAATTGTAAAGCCTTTGTAAAATCTGTATAATTCTGGTCAGGTGTTGACACTATTTCTACACCTTTGTTTTCAAAGAATTCCATAACACCTGGCCTCAATGAATCAAAGTCACCAGAAATTAAATCAGGGATATAACATTCGTCATTCTTCGATAAATTATCATAAAGTTCATTGGTACCACCATCTACCGAAAGCTTGAACACTGATTTATTCCATAGAAACCTAATCAATTTCAGGTCTGGATAAAGAGGTCTGTTCAGCATAACAATGATGCATTTAGAATTGTTAGACTCCAGTATTCTTAAAGGTTCAAGCAGTTGTGCCATTTTCCAAGCCAGTCTGAAATAATAAAATAACAAAAAGATACACATGTGTAGTATAATCTATAATTCCGATTACTTTAAACTAGAAATAAACTGTTGACACAGATATATGTCTCGCCTGTCCACATAAAATTCAGAAAAAGACAATCTGATGGACAGCAACATTGCTAATTAATTCAAAGTGGCTGGACCATGATCTTGTGGACAGGGACTAGAAATGGTCGACAAACTGAGATGTACTGATAGTAATGCAACTTCATACTAAATATCATTGATCTATCACAAGTAGATCCTATATATCAAACTAACTCCAGCAGAAAACTTAACATTGAAAATTGCTTATTAATTCAAAGTCCCTGGACCATGACCTAGGGGACAGGGCCTCGAAATAGTCGTCAAACTGATATGTACAGATAGTAATGCAACTTTATATTAAATATCAATGATCTATCACAAGTAGTTCCTATCAAACTAACTTAAGCAATAAACTAAACAATTGTTGACGCCACCACCACCGGAGCCATCACCGTAGCCGGAAAAGCAATCCCTATGTCTCGCTTTCCCCGACATCCGTTGCAGGCGAGACAAAAACAGTGTAAATTTATTACAGGTGTCCTGCTTCTTTTTCATCTTTTATTTTTGTCTTTTAAACTAGGAATGTAATTATACAAGTGCATTTACAAGTCAAAAAAAATGTTTGGGCTTGGTAAAAAGTCCCCCCCCCCCTTTTACCATTACATGTATGTACATGTAGCAAAGGGGACGTTCTTAATTATTGCCAGTTGTCCTTTATAAGCTTTGTAGTGCACAGTGGCGGATCCAGAAATTTTCATAAGTGGGGGCCCACTGACTGACTAAGAGGGGGCCCGCTCCGGTCATGCTTCAGTGAATCCCTATATAATCAACCAAATTTTTCCCAGAAAAGGGGGGCCCGGGCCCCCTGCCCCCCCCCCCCCCCCTAAATCCGCCTCTGGTGCATGCAGATATGTCCGATCTGTGGCACGTATTGCATACGTCATGTACGTAATGTTGAGAAATTGATGACCTACAATCAATTTGGACATATAAAAGAGAACTTCTAGAAACTGTACTTGTCGACATATTGCATTTACATTGGGTTCTGACTCGTTCAAAAATTATGGGTTAATGATCTCTGGAACTGGAAACACCAGGGTTTACTTATCTTACAAAAGTCTTTCAATCTTCACTAAAATTCACATTATCATAATTTCTTATTATATACATTGACTTGAGGTTCAAACAACATTTTTTGTTTTTCACATATCTGATCATGTGATTAATTTATAAATGCTTAAAGATTGTTCATAACTGCAATTTTGATATATTTGGTGAAAATTTGAGTAGTTTTTTTTTCTCGAAAAAAATTATTAGGTACATTTTTAACGAAGCCGAAATTTTGTTATTAATCTATCCCATTTAGTATTTGTTTGTTTCAACTGACCAAATGTTATATACCCGTTCCTTGATACTGAGATTTATACTTAAACACACATCTGCATGTAATTTGTGCGAAAGTCGATTAATTTGTATCTGTATCTTTACTTCGAAGATATCCATTCTGGCTTTAACTCAACGGGAGAGAGCACCTATCGACGGCGTTGAAGAGCTGTTTTGAAGCTCTCAACAGACTGTTGCCGAAAAGTAACAGTTATGTAGACCATCAACCAGACTATTTTACAACATTATAAATTATAGATACGCTCTGAATAAAAAAACGCATAAACAATACACGAAAATGCACCATTTCATAGAGTTGGTAAAAATTGGGGATTTATTTATTTGAAAGGACCGAGCCCTATACTAAATAAGCCAGGTTAACCCTTACCGATACTTATCAAAGTGCGCAAAAGCAATCGACGCCAAGTCATCATGGTCATTTTTTGTGATTTATTTTCCATACTTATATAAAAGAATTACACCATGAATAGCGGACAGGAGACTGTATTAATCAAATACAGAAAAGACTATTCACAATTGCTGTTAACTACATTTTGTACTTCAGTATCATAAGGAGAAATTACTTCTCTTTTTGAAAGTGACAGGCAGAAGTGGTGAGACTTCAAAGAGAAGTGTTTGTTCGGACATTGCGCTATAATGTTAGGTTTTTATCTTACCATTTGTATCCTATTTAAAAATAAAAATATTGTATTGTTCATATCTAATTTTATTTTATGTTTGAGAATACCATTATAGTAACAGTTGACTCGGTTTATCAGTGTCCTTAACTGGCATTTATAGTTCACGTTAATTACAGTGCAATTAAATTGAAAAATAAAAGCAATTGCTTTAACTAGCCCTAGTCAACTCATAAACTAATTCCTACCTCTAAAAGGTTCCTATTAGCTGAGACTTCTATAACACATGTTATAATTTTGATATGTGATGTACGTGGTGTTATAGTAGTTTATAATGAACTGATGAAAACCAAGGCCAATTTGGGCCGAGTTCAAAGGATACGAGTTGGTAAAGATTTGTTACGAATTTGTAAGGTCTGAATGTCTTGGGTGTAAACAAATAAAAGAAGAACAACAACACATGCCAGTATAAACAAAGACGAAAATGTGTACCAATTTAGCGATTAATTGTTTTTCGTGCGGCTAAGTACAATACTGATAAAATATTCAGTATGGGTTGTGTACTAGGAACAAAAAAACACGGTGTGTAAATTATTAATTAGGATGTTCAATGATGATCATGATGTTCATGTTGTTTTTCAAAATAAATCGAGTCCTAGCAGATAATTTAACATTTTACCTGACAGTGAAGTCCAAGACAAACGTCCAACTGTCTCGATCACATGTGTAAAATAAGGTTTACCTGTACTAGACTTAAGTCTGATATCAAATACGTATTTACAACTTGTTTAGCCGTTTCTGTATTATCCCTAATCTCCTCTACAAGGAGCACCTCCCTTTTTTTGCTAATGTAATATTGGTTAGATCAAGGACGTATATTAGATATGTTAGTTATACGTCCTTGGTTAGATCATCCAGTATCAAATTTTTATATTCTACATCAATATAGGATTCAGTTAACTATTCCTGTCATGTTAGTTGATGAAATTTCCCATGTACAGGGGTATTCAGTGACTTCCTTCTATTACAGATCCAACTGTACCAAGATGTGCAGCAAATAATTATCCCAGAAATCCAGCTTACGCCAACCAACCACAAACGTATCTAGGTAAGTCTTCAGTTCGTATTAAGGGCATATGATGCAGAATGCTGAAGATATCATTCATTGATTTTGCCTTTTAATTTTGACTTAAATTCAATGTTATTATATTGTTAATTATGTGGCTTTCTTGTCTGCTTCAGACACGAGGAGGACTGTGTAAATAACACAGCTCCTTGAGCCCCATTCCTTGGTGTCTGTTGCAGTAGGGAAACCTACACTATTCTCAATACCTATTACTGCAGTATATTTTATTTCCTGTGAATACACATGATCTTTTGTTACATTTATGTTAACTTTGTTTTTCTGCATCAGATACGAGGAGGCTTGTTAGAGCTCTTAAGCTAACAATCCTAGAGCATCGTCCCTTGGTACCTGTTGCAGCTAAACAATCATTTATATTTATACATTTCCAGCAAAAATATTATAAAATCAAGTGAGAAAAAACGTTTACCACATCTCTGGAGTAGCAACTCTTAAATACTTTCTTATTTAACATATAATACCTGTATGACTTTGTATCAATAGTTTAGGTTTATTATATGAATGTCATGTAAAATACTGTATGTTGTAACAATTATATATGTTATGTGTATATGCCCCCCTGGGGACCTAATTTGGAAAATAAAATATCTTATCTTATCTTATCTTATAACATTTAAGCAATCTTGAAATATTCAATGAAAAATGTACATTAATTCACAACTATTAGAGATATTTTAGTCATATTTTTGCATACCGTATACATACAGTGTATCTCACTTTCACACACCTTTAGACAATACCATCTATTCATTCAAAGACTTCATGGACAAATTATATCTTTTACCTATCCATTGTTCTCCCTGTACTTTGTTGATCTGGCTCTGTGTGAAAGAAAATGTCATTAAAGATACCAATCTTAACTTGTAATTTGGTATGCCAGACTCTCTTTATGTCAACACAAGACTTATCAGTTGTGCTCACATCAAAAGAGTTTGAAGGCCAAATCAATGACAAAGTTGAAGATCATTAAAAACTTAAAATTCCTAAGATATTGTGCCACTACAGCTAAGGCTAACAACTTACATGATAAACTCTATGTTACAGCTGGACCAGTTAATGTACCTGTAGGCATACATGGTGGCAGGGATCACATGGGAGAAGTTATTGTTGCTGGTAAGATATTATTGATACATTGATATTTCATATGGATTCCACAGACAACAATCCCCTAGTGCAATAATGTTTTAAAGTGATGTTTTATGTCCCAAGGAAATGCATCATGCTAAAAGTTAAATTACAATAATGCATAGGAATTTTTAAAACAAAATATACGAAAAGCTCTATTTAACTCGGGTAATTTCCTGGTTTTAGTATCAGGATGCAATTATAAGAATTGAATGCCTCTTTAATAGACTTTTTAGATAATTTTAAAAGGTTGTGAAAACATTCACTGTGCACATATTTTTAGTATGAAAAGCAGACTATGAAATGTGCTAGGTTCAATACGTTTACACCCTAATTTATAAACGAAAAAAAGAATCATTAATTTTCTATAAAAAATAAATACCAAAAAATACTGGTCTCTACTATAAGAGGGACAACTCTGATGAATTTTTGTATAACTTTAAAGCACTGGAATTTTAAAGATAGGACAAGTTTTTTAAGCAACTATATTTTAGGAAAGGCAACCTCATTAAGTGCAATCATTGAAAATTGTTTTATGTACATATTTTAATAAACTTTAATTTCACGGTTATTCTACTAGAGATCAAATTTAAATTGAAAAAAGTATCGTTTTATAAGATTTTCTTTATTGATTTTTTATTTGGTCCTATACAATGAATCATTATAACCATTTCTTAGTTTTAAACAATTTTCAATGTGTTTTGGGGAAGTAAAGTATAGTGTTTATTACAAATTGGCAAAGATGTGGATTTCTGTCAGTCTCTAAAAGAGATAATAGTATATATATCATCAGACTTGTGTTTAAGTTTTAAATGTAAAATAAAATCTTGTTTTTACAGGATTATATGGCTTATTAACAATCTCAAATATATGATAAAAAGGAGGATTGCATTAAGATACTTGCATTTTGTAAATATCACTGCTTTCATGATATTATTTATTTACTACTTTGAGAAGATACTTTTTATTGAATACTTGCAAGAATTGAAAGAAAAATGAATGCATCATTTTTAGGTACATCACTAAAAAAGGGTAGTTTATCATGCAGTATTTTGTAAATAAATTATCAAAGCTTCTTCCCATAATATAATGTTAAAAACATCTTAATTTGTTCTATAAATCTGAAAAAAGAAATGTTACTTTATATATATGTTATAATAAATGGATAGTTTGATGTAGATAAAAATTACTCAAATGAAGTTCTTTTTTGTATCAAAATTTAGCACACCTTAACTAACTTGATAGCTACAACATGTACCACAATTTTTTTTTTAAATCCTGAGTTACCTTGATAGAAAAATAAAGGAGATATGAGGGTCCAGATGGGAATCACAGAATAGAGAATAATGGCCAAAAAATATGAATATAGAAAAATGAGCAAAAATTAAAAAAAAAAATGGAGAATAATTGGGTGCAAAAGTATAAAGACTAACTATGGAAAATAAAAGAAGTAGGTAATACAATACCGATTACAGAAATGAACAATGTACAGAATAAGGAAATCAACTTATTACAGAAAGATTTAATATTGAAATTATTTCCATGACAATTTTTCTGAATAAGTGTTTTTTTAAAGATAAAGAAAAATGCCAAAAAAATTTAAAGATTAAAGAAAACAAGGACCCTCATCCAGACAATCAGATATATGGGGTATACGTCAATTAGAGTCCAACCAGTTAAATAAAAACAAAAACATCTAGATGTAATCATTATGGTTTTGAAGAATAGACAGATGTCTGTCCAAATTATCAAGCTTTAACTGGTATACATGTAGACTCTGAATAGATTTAACAGAGATCATAAATGATCTGGTATCAACACCTAAGTCTCCAAATGATAAAAACCCCTTAAGATATGATAAAAGACAACTTGCTTTGTTATGGTAAATGTAATGGCCTGTGTAAAAGAAATAATTTTGTCTATTTTCAGGAGCGCTATTGAGCCATGGCGGTTATGGTGTAGGGGGATTAGGACCCACAATGCATAACCCAGTATCTGGTGGCTATGGTGACATGTTCTGAATTTTGTAACTGCTTCATTTAATGTGTTCTAAATAAAGGGTATACAATATGGTGATATGTGCTGAATCTTATTACTGCTTCATTTAATGTCTAATAAATAAAGGGTATGAAATATGGTGATATGTGCTGAATCTTATTACTGCTTCATTTAATGTCTAATAAATAAAGGGTATAAAATATGGTGATATGTGCTGAATCTTATTACTGCTTCATTTAATGTCTAAATAAATAAATAAAGGGTATAAAATATGGTGATATGTGCTGAATCTTATTACTGCTTCATTTAATGTCTAAATAAATAAATAAATAAAGGGTATAAAATATGGTGATATGTGCTGAATCTTATTACTGCTTCATTTAATGTCTAAATAAATAAATAAAGGGTATAAAATATGGTGATATGTGCTGAATCTTATTACTGCTTCATTTAATGTCTAAATAAATAAATAAAGGGTATACAATATGGTGATATGTGCTGAATCTTATTACTGCTTCATTTCATGTCTAATAAATAAAGGGTATAAAATATGGTGATATGTGCTGAATCTTATTACTGCTTCATTTAATTTACCCTAATAGATAAAGGGTATATATTGTGTTCTTATTCAGCATATAAAGTAATTAGAGTATATTTTTTCTAACTGTTGTTAATAGATTTATTTTCTAGATTTGATGTTTTGTTTATGCATCTGTTTTTAATGTTTTGATATGATAATCATATGAGTATGTTAAGGTTGATGGGGGAGTCTAAATAAAATAAATAATTTTTTTAATACTTTGTCTAAACTAAGTTTATATCATACTATTTTATTTATAAAGGGTATCATAGAATGGATCTCAAAGCTTTTTTTCTAGCTACTGGTTGTGCAAAACTGTCAAATATTTGTATGATTATACTTGTAAATAAAACCACTTTGGTGTGAATAGAAAGAAAACTTAATGATAGAGGTTCAGAATAGAATATGAGAAACTAGCTCTTATGATGTGCTTTCATAATGGTTTAGCTAATTGATGATGGCCGTATGATGACCTATGATTGCCTAAATTTACATTATGTGGACTCTACTTGATAGTAGTTTCCTTGACAATCATACCACGTTTCCTTATTTATATTTCAGAAAGTAAAAATGAAAATTGAGGTAACCTTATACTCTTTTACTTGTTACAAATCAGATTAGGTAAATTTCCTTTACACTTCTTTTTTTGAATAAAATTTATTATCTGAGTTATCTCTCCTTATATGAGAAAGTTGAAAAAAGTCTGATTCAAACAAAAATATTCTTTATTTAAAAAAAAAATCATTTTACTTAAATAAATCATATGATGTTCTTCATTGAAATGAAATTGTACAAAAAAAACTGTATTCCTGAATCCTGTCTCAATGTAAGCATATTTCATTAAAAATCTGCAACCAATGTTTTCTGATACTTTACAATCCAAGATTGACTGAAGACGCCCGATCTACCTTCCAGGATTTTTGTGTCTACCTTTTAATTCTTATTTTTATATCAACAGCAAAAAAGTTTATTAATTTTAAAATGTTTGTTTACATGTTGTACCCTAAGTACTACTTGATTTGTTAAAGCTAACATAATGTATTGAACAAATAATAC